TGAGTTCCTGTGGCAACTGCAAGATGGAAATAATCGTAAAGGTGAATATGATATCGTTATTGGTTCATTATTATGACTGCCTTTTTTAAGTTGTGTGGCTAACCCTGTTTCCATTGGAGAAAATGATTCAACACAAATGCATGTCATGAAGCAGGTACCAAGCAAAAGTATCTTTGTCCAAGAATACTTCGCGCTCACAAAATGAACATTTTTCACAGATACCTGTGAAGGGTGTACAAGTTATGAATCAATGCATTCTTCTATGCAAAGTGAGACATTTATCAACAGAAGGACTTCAACTAAGTAAAAGACACGAGCATAGGTGTTGAAGCAAAATCCTCAGGATCTTCTAGCATTTCCAGGCAGGTCTACATCTAGAAAAAGCAGAATAAATTGATAAGGCTAAAATGGTAGCACACTTACAATGGCACCAACTCTCAAACTATGTGGTACCATCAGCTGGTGGTCTGTTAACAAAAGAAGCACTCCTTGATCCAACTCCACAACCATGCCCTGCATGTAAACCCCGGTAACGGTTCCAGCATAGCTGCCAACCTCACCAAACCCTCTCACCTCAGCCTTTTCTTTTGAAATATATTTCTTTGCCATCACAGGAAGCCGCAACAAAGCTTTATCGGTGGTTACATACATCAGTTCGGAATCATCCTTTCCAATATAAACCAACTTCTTCTTCAATCCAGAGAGTGAAATAAGATTCCCTATTAATCTCACCATCACCGGGTGCCAAGATGAAGCAGACCCACAGAAATAGACAATCAAACATTTCAAAAAGCAATGATTTTTACAGCTCTCATCACTTAAATCTCTCAATGCCAATATGGTTTTCCGAGACCTACAAAATTCGCACTCACAAACCAAGATTTTTACAAGAAACCCGCAAATATTTCTCGAATCACATCTAGAACTACTACCACCTGTCGAACATGGAACTACGGATACAGGACTTATGGATTCCAGTACACCAAATAGCGAATATTTAACCTTTGAATCATCCTTACAATCAAATGCACCCAAACCTAATGAAAATTCAGTCAAATTCGAAGAATATTCTATGAACTCCCATCTAATAATCTCCAAAAACCCACTTAACCTACACCCAACTCTCAAAGGAATAAAATTCCAGGCGCAAATGCGGATCTTTTGACCTATCATTTGCAGCTGAAAATCAAGGACGTCGCAACAAATTGTGACAGAGCCATCGGTAAACTGTAAGCAGCTACATTCAATTGTGGAAACATCATCATTATTCTTGTTGGAGTGTAACGGCAGGGATACAGCTCCGATGAGAATTGCTGGGTGATTCAAGGGTTTCAGGAGTTTAATTGTAGGGTTTTGCGAGGTGGGTTTATTAAAGTGCATGGGAGGCTCATCTTGCGGTTGGGGCGCTGAAGAAGGAACATTACCGCCCGGAGTGAGCGAGGAAACGCCGGTGAGCGGCCGAGCGCAGCTGATGAGATCGGAGATTTTGAGGATATTGGCGGTTTTGCCTTCCATCCAGGAATGTGCTTTTTTTGTTTTGGGGGGGTTCATTTTTCCCGGCATATTATGAGCGGGAAGGAGGCGTCTTTCGAAAGCTTTGTGGCATCTGGAAGTTTCAATCAAGAGGCCCAAGCCCAGTAAAAATGTAGTGGCCTGGCCTCTCTATTGAGTTGCTTGATTCTTGTTCGGCCTATTTTATTTCCCGTAACTTTTGGATCAATATATCTGTCTGAAGGCTTCGCACATGTGATCCAATATAAGACTTTGTAGGTATATCTACATGTAGTAACGGGCTTAGGCCTACTCTGATAACAAAAAAAAAAAAAAGAATCGACCAAAGTGTTTTAAATTTACCAAGTTTGTTGCATTAATTCCAGAGTGCAAAATGATCTAGTATAGAATACGACAAGATGACAAAGAAAAACACATTTGAGGTTGGGACTGATAAATACTAAGGCTGTTTGAAATATATTATTTGTCATAATTACTATAATACTTTTTGTGATTAAATATATGCAAAAAAAAATTTAGTAGAAAGATAAAAAGTTAATTAAGAATTGCATTTGTGATGCAAGTAAAATAATATTTGAAAAAAATTTTGCTATCCAATTACACTCCATCATGTTTTGCATATAATGACTATTTAGAACTTAGAACGGGTCTGTTCTATTTTTTTTTTTTGGAGGTGAAATTTGTCAACACAAATTCGAAATGCCAAGGAAAATATTGGAGTACTTGAGAGTTGAACAGAAATCTCATTATATTATCTAACTAAAATCCAACCATTGTATGTCAGGGACATCCCAAATAGAGGATCATCTGGCTTATATCTGTTTTTACATATGCATGGTGAGATTTTGTAATCATTTGCTCACTGATTTTGTTGTTGAAGAGTGGTAAAGGAAGCCAATGCTCTCCGCTTCCTATGGGATAAGATTATGGTCATCAATCCTATGACAGTTTTGAACCGGTCAAAATCCCGTACAAGAAGGGAAAAGATGGCAATATATATATTGTCCATGTTTATCTTTCTCCCCAAAGACAGAGATGGATTGCCGAAACTATCACATAAGGCCTCCACCCAGCCTGGAATCTTCAGGCAGCATTGTAAGCTAGAGAGCTGGACTTGCGATGTCTTCTGGATTCCAAAGTTCAAATTCACATATGATACCTCATTTATCCGACACCCTGGGAGCTGACAAAGATGATAGATACCAAGGGTAGTTTCGAAATAATCCAGAAAGCAGTTGTAGAGGTAGATGAAGGGGGAACGAAGGCTGCAGCTGTTTAAATTATGAGCCTCCTCCAGCGTATGAATTTGTGGCTGACCATCCTTTTCTCTTCATGGTAAGGGAAGAGAAATCTGGGTCGGTGCTGTTTAGTGGAACCGTCTCGAATCCTCTCCTGCAGGAATGAATGATCTCTGTCAATTACTGATAGATGGTATACTAATAATTGAGGGTGAAGGTGAGGGTGGTACTTGCGTATATTAATCCAACCTAGCTTGGCACGATTATTTTGAGCTTATCGTGGCAATGGAGCACAACGAATTTTCCTAAATTCTTTTTTAGTTTTATTTTCTCGTCTGGACAAGTTAATCAATTAGAAGGTTTGTTTTGTCTTTGCAAAAGAAGGGCCATTTTGATTAAGATCTGTCTTCCAACCTGTTTCAAGTTCTTTATTTCTACTTGTGCACATACAAAACATGTGCAAACACGAATATGCACAAAAGGCACCTGTGGAGGCCAATTGTGTATTTGTCCGCCTCAGTAACGGGTGCTTGGAGGGAGGCCTCCCCAAAATTCGAACCCTGGTCCTTTGGGATAAGGGTTTTGGGGTTGAAGTTCTGATAACACAATTTATATCCGTACGTGGGTTTGAATTTCGAATATATGATCAGGTTGTAATTTTCCTGATCAGATGGGTCGATCAACTCTTAACTGGGCCAGTTAATTTCTAGTGGGTCTCGCACCAGGCCCAAGTCAATTTAATCGAAAATGTTCTTAACTTCTTGATCCAATGGGCCGTTCACAATGGCATTGGACCTCGCACCAGGCCCAATAAATATTTTATCAATGTATGGCACAAAATGTAGTATCTCAATATGTCACCATTAATATTAGGGTCAGGACTGTCTTATTTGTACGCATCTTGTTTAAGGATGAAATGAACTGAAGCATTTTATTTCCTTCCTGCGTATCTATTACACGTGTCACTGCTGCATTAAATCCCTATGTATTACATACGTACGAATACTCGTATCCTATCCAGTGCTCTACGTTGCGTATATACGTATGTTCCTGTGCGTGTGGGTCCCACTTCATTGTCCAATGGAAGGGGTTTCACCAGGTCAGGGGTTCGACTCCTCCTCCTCAGCTGCTGCTCCCGGTGGAGCTGGCATCGTCCGCAGCATCCTCTGAATCCGACAGGGTTCCCTTCAGCTCCTCTACCGCCCTGAACAGCAGGTCTAGTTCGCGGATGAATCGCAGGCTCCCCATGCGAAGTGCAAAGTACATGCCCAGGAGCACCACGTGCTCCATGCCGCAGTCTCTCGCGACCCTGAAGAATCCTGCCATGTCCCTCACGTTTGCCATTTTATTTCTGCTCGTCAAAATGCACCGTATCGACCAGTTCACTGGAATGGGCATGCCGAGCATGGAATGCTCCGTATTTATCGTCTTATCCCTCTGCCACGTGTCGCGTGTGGGGCCCACAGGGCCGGGGACACGTGTCAGCCATCCCGCCCCAAGCGGGAGTGTTCAAAATTTGAAGTTCGACGTGGGGGGGAAAATTCGAAATTGAATTTCGAATTTGAATTTTAAATTCCAATTGCAACAATGCCTCCGGGTATTGTGCTGCTCCACCTACTCGCACTGTGCGTCAGTGCGGGGCTCTGCCCTCCCGGGCGGCCAGTGGCCTTTGGCCACATGGCAAAGAAGTACAGCGGCCCACGTTCCCGCGGGGGATACGTGGGGGGGCCCTCCAACCAAATGACAAAAATGCCATTGGGTTGAGCGTACTAATTACCACAATATCATTGGGTTGAGTTGATCTCAACCGTCCAATGTACTCCTGGGGGGTGACGTGGCCCTCCTATCCGCCGTCCACGTGTCCGCCCCGAGCGTTTTTGTAATATTATAAGACACTCGGAAGACCCCTATATAAGCCAACCCATTCTACCCAATAGTAGGGATACTTTGTATTGGGGTGGGTGACGTCATCAGGTTGGGTTGAGCTTCAATATGCCCAGAGCACCTTCTTCCTTCTTCATAAACGTGAAGAACATATTCCTCACCTATCCCAGGTGTGTTCTTCCCAAACAACAAGCATTAGATGCAATTAGGAACATCTAGTTCCCTATTTCTCTCATTTATGTGCGGGTTACTCAAGAAACCCACCAAGATGGTTCTCCTCATCTACATTGTCCGCTTCAATTCGAAAGTAAATTTCGCACTGAATCTGTTAGATTCTTCGATATCAAATCCCCCACTTCAAATTCGATGTTCCATCCGAATGTTCAAGGTGCCAAGAATTCATCAACAGTTAGGGATTACATATCCAAATACGGTGATTTTGTCGAATGGAGAGAGTTCCGGCCAGATGACCGGAGCAGATTCTCATCTGACAAAACAGATGAGGTATATGCCGCTGCGCTTGCCGGGTAAGATAAGGGAATGGCTCTCAATATCATCAAGAGGGGCGATCCTCGATCGTTCATTATTCATTACGACAAATTGTCCAGCAATCTGGACAGAATATTCCAGAAGCCACCAGAACCATACGTGGCTCGTTTCCCACAATTTGAACGCGTTCCTTCATTCTTGATCCATTGGGCCGATAAAAATGTTACTGGGCCTGATGACAGACCACACAGGCCCACGTTCATAATAATAGAAGGCCCAAATCGAACTGGTAAAACATGTTGGGCTAGAAGTCTTAATCCTCAGACCCACAATTACTATGCAGACCATATTGATCCGACCCATCACTCTGATAATGCATGGTACAACGTCATAGATGACGTAAACCCTCAGTTTCTCAAACACTGGAAAGAATTCATGGGTGCACAACGAGATTGGTCGTCCAATTGCAAATATGCCAAACCCAGGAAAATCAAAGGGGGAATTCCGACAATTATGCTCTGCAATCCTGGTCTCAATTCTTCATATCACGTCTATTTAAGTGAACCACACAACCAGGATCTTCTCAACTGGACTAAGAAGAATGCTGCATTCTTCTTCCTGGAACAACCCCTCTTTGCACTCACAAACCAAGAGTAGGCACCAATTGTCCAAGAAGTTCAAGAATTGGACAACACCAACTAAGTCCTATTCCGTATCCAGGATTTCAGCATTTCCTGATCAGATGGGTCGATCAACTCTTAACTGGGCCAGTTAATTTCTAGTGGGTCTCGCACCAGACCCAAGTCAATTTAATCGAAAATGTTCTCAACTTCTTGATCCAATGAGCCGTTCACAATGGCATTGGGCTCGCACCAGGCCCAATAAATATTTTATCAATGTATGGCATAAAATGTAGTATCTCAATATGTCACCATTAATATTAGGGTCAGGACTGTCTTATTTGTACGCATCTCGTTTAAGGATGAAATGAACTGAAGCATTTTATTTCCTTCCTGCGTATCTATTACATGTGTCACTGCTGCATTAAATCCCTATGTACTACATACGTACGAATACTCGTATCCTATCCAGTGCTCTACGTTGCGTATATACGTATGTTCTTGTGCGTGTGGGTCCCACTTCATCGTCTAATGGAAGGGGTTTCACCAGGTCAGGGGTTCGACTCCTCCTCCTCAGTTGCTGCTCCCGGTGGAGCTGGCATCGTCCGCAGCATCCTCTGAATCCGACAGGGTTCCCTTCAGCTCCTCTACCGCCCTGAACAGCAGGTCCAGTTCGCGGATGAATCGCAGGCTCCCCATGCGAAGTGCGAAGTACATGCTCAGGAGCACCACGTGCTCCATGCCGCAGTCCCTCGCGATCCTGAAGAATCCTGCCATGCCCCTCACGTTTGCCATTTTATTTCTGCTCGTTAAAGCGCACCGTATCGACCAGTTCACTGGAATGGGCGTGCCGAGCAAGGAATGCTCCGTATTTATCGTCTTATCCCTCTGCCACGTGTCGCGTGTAGGGCCCACAGGGCCGGGGACACGTGTCAGCCATCCCGCCCCGAGCGGGAGTGTTCAAAATTCGAAGTTCGACGTGGGGGGAAAAATTCGAATTTGAATTTCGAATTTGAATTTTAAATTCCAATTGCAACAGTGCTTCGGGGCACTGTGCTGCTCCACCTACTCGCACTGTGCGTCAGTGTGGGGCCCGGCCCTCCCGGGCGGCCAGTGGCCTTCGACCACATGGCAAAGAAGTACAGCGGCCCACGTTCCTGTCGGAACGTAGGGGGACACGTGGGGGGGCCCTCCAACCAAATGACAAAAATGCCATTGGGTTGAGCGTACTAATTACCACAATGCCATTGGGTTGAGCTGATCTCAACCGTCCAATGTACTCCTTGGGGGTGACGTGGCCCTCCCATCCGCCGTCCACGTGTCCGCCCCGAGCGTCTTTGTAATATTATAAGACGCTCGGACCAATCACAGCACGCCACTTGCTCAACCCAGTCTACCCAATACAATGGATACTTTGCAATGGATGGACTGATGTCATTCTATTGGGTTGGATGACGTCGAGCTGGTGACTGTTTACCATCATCTTCCTTTCGACTGGGTCCACTGTTTCTAACCAGTAACACATAACCCATTACCTCCCAAACATCTCATCTTGGTCAAAGCCAAGATTTTAGGGCAACATTCAATGGAAATACCAAGATCTTCCAGATTCCAAGCTAATCTGTCCATATGATGCAAGAATTGTACTTCGAAAGTGAAGCACCTTCTTCATTCCCAATGACATTTTAAACGACCCATCTGATCAAGAAATGTTAGGCCACTTACACGGATGGCCCACGCTGCGATAGCCCTAATTCTATTCATTTATCTTCCCCAGCAAGCGCAGCGCCACACAGACAGCTCGACTTGTCAGATAAGAACCTTCTCGAACCACAGGGTTCGACATATATAGAAGTTATAGAATTGCCTCACATACAACATCGCATCGATTAGAATCGATGCTTCATTACAGAGGGAATGAAGAAGGTGAATCACCTTCGAAGTACAATTCTTGCATCATATGGATAGATTAGCTTGGAATCTGGAAGATCTTGGTATTTCCATTGAATGTTGCCCTAAAATCTTGGTTTTGACCAAGATGAGATGTTTGGGAGGTAATGGGTTATGTGTTTAAAAATTGATTACGTTCAAATATTCTGGACAGTTTTTCCAGCACTCGTAACAATCAAGCAGGTGTTTAAAAAAAAAAAAAAAGTGCTTTTCGAAACAGAAGAGAACATTAGTAATGGTATAGCAGGGCATTTGTATGGACAGTGAAAGACTTTGCTGTTTTTTGGTTTCTCGAACGGGTGTTCTCATCGATCAAAAGGGATTCCAGAACTGTGCAGTTAAGAAAAATTCAATTGAGTGTGCAAATGTACTAATCTAGTCTAAAGTAGGATAATATAGGTATTACGAAAAAAAAATAAACTCCACGTGTTAATATTAGTCTGAGTGTCAATTTGAAAAAAAAAATGTTGAAATCAGACAAGGAGAGTGTCTCGAACCAGATAGTTAGGATAATGAATATGAGTATCCAACAATGAATGTGGCAATAACAAGTGCACAATAAAAACCCTAATTCTTTCGTTTAATAAATGCTCATCAACTATAGGCAATTTTTACCATAATTACGGTGGATTTTAGTAAAGTGTCTATAAAGCCCAAGCCAAAACAGTGGATTTTAGGAATGAGGTACCGGTTCTATCTCATCTCTTTAGTACATGTATCGCATTCAATTAATCACTAGTAGTGCATGCTATGAATTTTTACATGATTATGATTGTTGGACTTATTAAACCAAACTCAGTGATTAGTAGTGTCGTTAGGATTGGAATTGTTGTTTGCCAGATTATGTTGATTTAGGATGTAAAGTTTACTGTGTCTCGGGGTCAGAGTTAGAAAATTTTTCACTTTTGTGTTTGTTTGTCTACTTGAAGGGAAGAAAACCTCATGTTTTCTGCGAGAGTTAATAGCAGCCAAAAAGTTTGAGTAACAAAATTCATTAACCACTCCGAAATATATAGTTTCTTTCTTGCTTTGCCGGGCTTATTCCTTCTTATTTCTCGGTTTCTTGAATATTATTTTGAGTTTTTACAATGGCATTAAAATTGTTTATGTGATTCATAGATAAACATGTTAAAATTGTTGGATAAACAACTTCACACATATAATGGTTGCCAATGGGAGATTTTGAAGAGTGAAGTACAAAGATGAAACCACGACACAAAATGAAAATTAAGGAACCCCATCTTTCCATTGGGTAAATTGATCGTCATTTGACAACTTATAAATTAAGTTCATCGAGCGATCCCAGGGAAGAGAGTTTATTAAAGTTCCCGAATGGGTACATGCTAGTTATATCATGAAACTACCACACTTGTCATTGTTATTTTGAGAGGGAACGTCAGAGTTCATTGGAAGTTCGTGTGATAATATATATTTACAGACATGCAACAGCATATAGAGGAATATTGATGATTCCACTGATCTTGTTGAATGCTGCGGTTAATTTTATTTTATTTTTTAATAGGTCGACAAAGTTGTTGAAGAAGCAAATGAATGGGCTAAGTCAGCAATAAAAGGGCTCGTGACAGAGGTTCTCCAGCCAGGGGCGGATTTAAGGTGGGGGCACGGCCCCTACTGTACCAATTAAATTCCTATAATACTTATATAATTTTAATATAATTTTAAGTGTGTCTTCAGAGTTTTCTTAGAAAGGATATGAAAGAATTACGTGATTTTTTAATTTAATTCATAAACTAAAATTCTAAAAAGATACGTGGGATACAAATTCTATTTGAAATACGTTAAAAAAAGTCTTTTCATTTTAACTAGTAAATGCCAATCATATCATTCACTTCCTTTGTCTCCACTTTCCAATTTCCCTTGCCACCTCTGGTCCTCCATTTTTCCCTTACAACCGAGAGCCACTATCTTCCACAACCAATCCACAACCAAGCAGCTAGCTATTCTTTCTCTTGATCAATTCATCCAATCATATCATTCATTTCCTTTGTTCCCACTTCTCAATTTCCCTTCCTTCCACTGGTCCCCCATTTTTCCTCTACAATCGAGAATCATTCTTACTTCCACAACCAAATTAGTTATCAAAATATAAAAACTCGCAGTGAGCAATTGTAAATAGTTTAGTTTATTTTTGAAATAAAATTATTATTACATTAATAATTTTGAATTTGTCGTTTTATGTTTTTCATGGAATATATGCATCATTTGTACTTGTTGATAAATTTTTTTTTTTTTGCTTAAAAAACTAGAAAAAGAGTAGGTAAAAAATTTTAGCGTTACTTTTGCCCCCACTAAGAATTTTTTCTGGCTCCGCCCCTGCCTCCAGCCTTGTAATGTCACTCCAGATACCAAACTTACTTCAAAAGTTGTTGGGAGGAGAAATTTAATGCAAAGTCTACCAAGAACTTAGACTTTTACCTTTTAAATGGAGATAGAATTTCAGCACCCTTCATGACTGGTTGCAAAACATATACTCATGGATCATACGATGGCTTTGAGGTTGTTAAAATCCCATAGCAGGATAGAAAAGCATTCTCCTTCTTCATTTTTCTTCCCAACGAGATAGACGGTTTGCAAAAACTACTGGAAACGGCTACTTCTGATCCTGGATTTTTTAGCCAACATTTTCAGCTTATCCACAGGACATATGACATCTTCTGGATTCCAAAGTTCAAATTTGCATACCGCACTGCTGAAGGGCCACAAACCATGAAAGATATGGGACTTTGTTTACCATTCATGGAGGATTGCAGAGAGCTTACCGGGTTGGTAGACACCAAGAATGAACCGTTCTTCGTCTCTGAAATAGTTCAGAAAGCTTTTATAGAGGTAGATGAGGTTGGCACAGAGGCTGCAGCTGTCAGCATTTTTGATATGGCATGCGGTTGTTCAGGATATTATGAACCCACAAGATTTGTGGCTGACCATCCTTTCATGTTCACGATAAGGGAAGAGGAGTCTAGGTCAGTGCTGTTCACTGGAGCTGTACTGAATCCTTTACTGAAGTGATCAGTTCTTTCGGTGGAAGAGGATTTAGCATATAGTAGGTTTTTTTTCTTTTTTAGCACGATTCAATTTTTGTTTGTAGGACCTTTTACTTTTTGAAGTAGGTAGAAATTATCTTTGATCTATGAACTGATTTCTAGATTGGCTGTTGCAACCCCCATCAACTTAAGATTGAGTTCCCCGAATCCAAAAAGGAAATAAAGGATCAATTTTCTTCGCCCCGGCCACATAAAATTGGGTTTTGTATCAGTAGAATCATCTAGTAATCCCTGCAGACCACAGTGTTTACATTTTAGTTTTTCCAATCCCCCAAAAAAAAAAAAAAAAAAAAAAACGTTTACCTGACCACTTCTGTTTTGGTGCTCTAAATTATTCAATTTTATTTTTTGTCCGCCATGTTTCCTCTTCCTTAACTTCATGTCTATGTAACAAAGTCATAATTTTGACTTTGACAACTCTTAGGCTCCCAACAATCACAAGATTCATTCAATACCCCCCATCCCCCATTATGGAAATTAAATCAAGTCTTTTGTTAGTATTTATTATTTGCCAATTAGTAGTACTAGTTTCTATATTGTTTAGTCTTGTTTCTTTTTACTTTTTTAGTAATACATCGGTTGAAGAGGTGAAGCAAGTTCCAAGTCCAAAACCGAAGTTGAAAGTTGATTCCATTCGCGGATTCGGAAACTGTGAGTTAATTTAAAAAAAATAACAATGGATTTTTGTGCCAAGATGACGGGCCATCTTCTGATCAACGAGATCGAAGATGGTTGCAGGAAGAATATGGTGCTATCCCCGCTATCATTCAATGCTGTACTCAGCATGATTGCTGCAGGATCGACTGGATTGACCTTGTACCAGATGTCCAAGTTCTTGAATGCAACAACCTTGATCATGTCAATTCAAAGTTAAAAAACTTGACGAGCATTGCATCATCATCAACTGATGATCACAACACCACCAATGGCAATCATGGTGGTGGTCCTGTTATCTGTCTGGCGAACGGACTGTGGGCAGACAAACAATACCCTCTAAAACCATCGTATCAAAGACTCGTTGAGAGAGTTTATAAAGCCCAAGCCAAGAACGTGGACTTTGTTAACCAGGTATGTTGATTATTTTTCTTTTGTTCTGGAATTCACTTGGCTTTATGGACACAAAATCTGCTTAGGCTACTGTTGATTTAGGTGATTTCTTAACCTCGTATTAGAAAGAAATATATAATTGTGAAATTTCCTAATGTCGTTGCAATCGTGTATCGTGAATCTTTTTTTTCAAAAATGCATCATGCATCTTGAATGCTGTTTTGAGACAGAAGCCCATAGTCCATGGGACAATCGAGCCCTAACGAAACATTCGGACTCAGTTCATTAAGGGCTTAATTTGAATTCGATTTTGAATGATTTTGATCTCAAATTCGGATTAGCATTAATGTTGGATTAAAGTACGGAATTGAATTCGGAATTGTAAAGGAGTTGTACATATGCAGCCCGATTAGGCTCAAATATAAGTTTATTGTTTTATTTCATAGATATTATGTATGTATTGATTCATCCGTGGGGTGATAAAGTTGTTGAAATTGTGAATGCATGGGCAAAATCAGCAACCAAAGGGCTCGTGACCGACGTTCTCACGCCTGCCAACATCACTCCAGCTACCATGCTCATTCTTGGAACTACACTGTACTTCAAAGGTTCGTGGGAGGAAAAGTTTAACGCAGAGGAAACCGCGAACGGAGACTTTTACCTTTTAAATGGGGACACAGTTTCAGTACCCTTCATGACTGGTTGCGAAGCATATACTCACTCATGGATCATACGAAGGTTTTGAGGTTGTTAGTATTCCATATCAGAGAGGAAAAGTATTCTCCTTGTTCATTTTCCTTCCAAATGAGAGAGATGGATTGCATAATCTATTGGAACAGACAACTCTTGATTCGGGATTCTTTACACAAGATTTTCAGCTCAAGTACGGGGGATATGATACTTTCTGGATTCCAAAGTCTAAGTTTGCATTCCATACTTCTAAAGGGCGACAAACCATGGAAGATATGGTGCTAAAGTTACCATTTATGTAGGACTGTAAAGAGCTAACCGGGTTCATAGACACCAACGGATTTCCATTTTATGTCTCTGAGATAGTTCAAAAAGCTTTTATAGAGGTAGATGAGGTAGGCACGGAAGCAGCAGCTGTTACTGTTGCGTGTGATTACTTGGTTGCTCATTAGATGATGAGACGAGATTTGTGGCTGAACATCCTTTCATGTTCATGATAAGGAAGAGAGCTCCAGGTCAGTGCTGTTTACTGGAGCGGTATTGAATCCTCTAGTTCAGGACTGATCCTGTCAACTCTCTCAACAAGTATATTAGTTTTCGGGGGGTAGGGTTTCCAGCTTCGAGTTGAACTTGGCATGATAATGATGACATTGTCTTGTTTTTGCTCCAGTCGCGGGGTAGAGTATTTTGGCAGGTGATGATGTGCTGTAAATTTCAATATAAAACACAGCAAACTGGTTATGTCACAATCAAATCTATAGCCAACAAAATTGCAACATACATTGATATAATTGTGGAAAAATTATTGTTAAAACCAATCTGTAAATTGACTGCAACGCCGCACTTACAAAACATCACACGTATGACAGCATATAAATTGTAATCACAACAACCAAGCGGCTAAACCAATGATATTTTCATCTCTAATAGTAATATCATCAGCAGTAGGAGAATGCAGAAGTCCTGAAACGATGATAAATATTTGTTCAATCAACTAGGGAAGCCAATCTACGACATTAAAAATCTATCAAACAAGTATACCTGCTATCTTCCTTCAAACAAAGTATGCGTGCTGTCTTAAATACATGATCCTCCAATCTCAAGCGCTTCAAGATGCGGTAAGCAAAGCAACCCAACTTCAATTTATCAACTTGCAGCTTCTGCATTAGGAGCTTATCAGGATGCAGAGATACCTAAATTCCTCATTCAACTATCACACCATGCTGAAAGACATCAATTTTTTGTTTTTCTGTTGATTTTATACCACACAGAGCAATAACCCAGTCCATCTTGACTTGGACGACCCTATCTTGAAGTAATAACATCCGAGCCCGAAGTTGTCATCAGGCTTCCACTATCAGACATGTAGAAATAATTGTAATTAATTCTCGTAACCAAATCTGCTAAATGAGGAAACTGCCCCACGTTCAGCTTGAAAGATAGAATCTGCAACGTAGTGACAAAGATGATGAAATCCTTTTCTCCTAAGCTGGAGAATATCAAAACTATAACCAAGATTAACCGCAGTTTTTCCATTATCCATGCTACTACACAACAGTGGATTTACACTTCAATCCACTAGCGCATGGACATAAATTTTCTTAGCATATGCATCAAAACCAACAAAAGGATAGAGAAGGAATACCCTGAGAAGGAAAGCTATGCATTCATCGAACTGTCTCTCTATCCGATCTACTTCCATTTCGCATCTTGTCTTTATGGCAGACACTGCTCCACCACTGCTTAGAGTCTGCTGTATGGAATAGAAGTCCAAAGCAAGTCCAAGGATATTGTTGATTCGGCTGGCTATCAATGCCCACTAGTAATGAAACAATAATCATCAAAAATGTTAACACAATTTATCTTATTAGTTTCTCAACAAAACGTCCAATAGAAAGGAAAAATAAGGGTAGGCAAAAGCAAAGTTATTGGAGGCAGTTATGGACCAGCTTGTCAGGAACAACAAAGCACTGTCTCTGAATTGACAAAAGATAGGATTCATGCACTTCAATGACTTCATCCAAAGACCTAGCTGCTGCAACACCTTCACAGAGTTCACGCCATGCACTGTGATATACCTGCACACAGCCTTCGTGTAAGAAGTGCAAGAAACCAAAATTTCTCTTCAAAGAAGATACGCATTGATACTCTCAACCTTGCATGTAGCGTACTCTCAACCTTGCATGTAGCGTACTCTCAACCTTGCATGATACGCATTGATACTCTCAACGCAATGAAGATCATCCAAAATTCAAGTGAATCTTCTTAGAGAATATATCTTTGGTAGTTAAATTTTATACACGCAAAAGAGGCAAGCAAGTTTAGATTAGCTTGTTCTAATATATTTGAAAAAAAATTAGTCTAAGAACCCTCTATCACATAACCACCTACAAATATGAAAGCCCTGTCCATCTTTATATGCAAGTAATACAAGAACCAAACCCTAAAAGTTGTTAACGTACTAAACAAGGCGGTAAAATACATTACCCTGTCCATCACATACTGGTGAAAGGCATTGACAAAATGCAGTAATTTTTGCTCCAATAACCAATGGCGTTTGCGAGTAGTTGTAGCAGTGCTTCTATCCTGAGAGAGGCAAAGTATCGAATCACTGATCTAAAGAATACCTTTCATAAGCCATGAAATTTTTGTTTAGCAATACAAAATTTCACTGCTGCAACATGATGAAAGCAAAAGAGAGTAAAAAATCAGGAACCTTCCACATCCACCTCCGAGCCTTATCAAGAACAAATATTGCACGCTTGACCTTTAACAGGAAAATCATGACCTGTACCATATGTTCAGAAGAATTACAGTGCAAGACTAATTACAATTTGTCCATATGAAGCCAATTAGGTACCTGGTTATACTTCTTTAGTGCCTCTACATTAGCTAGAAGTTCAAGTGACCAGGAGACCTGTATATTCAAGAAACATGTGCACTTAAGATGTTCATCAACAAGGTATTATTCAAGGTAAATGAAGTTGAAGTGCTTGACAGCTCGCAAACAGCAGGCACCTCTTGAAAGCAGAAGCATGCATATAAATCATACTGCCTACCTTGTATGTAAAATTTAGTGACTGAAGGACATCAATTCCCATGGTCTGTAGTCGACTTTTGCGAGGAGTTGAGATTTGGATAGATGCACCATGTTGTTCATCCTCACTTAAATCAGAGTTTTTTGTGATGGACACAACCAATGAATCAGGTGTGCTCAGAAGTGAGCCATCAGCAGAGTTTCTAATAGATTCCTAAGTAAACATAAGCATTGTCATTATTGAGGCACTAAATGTATATTCACCCTCACCAAGCAAACACGGTCACTTGCTAGTCCCATTATCGGTTAAGTGGTATTAAAACACCTACCTGTGAAGATAATTTGAAGAAAAATGCACCAACAAAAAAAGAGATAACTAACCAGTTTCCCTCATTCAGAAAAAGAGAACAGGCTTCCAATGAACATTATAGCATGACAAATATAGATCATTCATGGGAAGGAAGAAATGTAAAATCAGGATAGTACAGCACAATAGTACAAATATGGTTAAAGGTTCAGCATGTGCACCTGCAATATGGTGTTCAACTCAAAATCATCATCTAACGATTCTCCTTTATCTAACTTGTTAAAAATCACTACCAAAAAATGTTGCAGAAGATCCCCTGTAATAAAAAGGTTTCAAACTTTCAATCAATGAATGGTATTTTCTGATAACACCCAAGATTGCTAGAAGTATCCATTTGACCAATATCCTAGAATACCTGAACCTAACAAATATATGGCGCGTAATACTTCTAGCTCATCCAGCAATCTCCAGTCATCTAGTAGCTTTGACAATATAATCCTACCAATATAATCTGCCTGTAGATTAATGAAAATAACTTCTAAATATAATTCAGCCTTAAGAATGTAGGCAACAAATAAGACACCGAAAACCAAAAATAATTGTGCAGTCCACCTGTTTCTTGATGTAGGCAATAAGGCATTCCTGTAGAATAACAACAGGAAGTGGGGTAACCTTTGGTTCAGCACTCTGCATCCAACTTAGAATTCTTGATGGAAGGGTACTATTTTTCTCAAATGGCAAAAACTCTGACATGTGAAGGTCCTCCTGTTCCGCCACAGAAAGAATTGCTCAGATTTCAAATGTTCTAAAAACTACTGTGACAAACATAGTACTAACAAAATAGCTATACCTGAAAAGATGGAAGCAAAGTCATAAATGGAAATAGCATCTCTAACATTTTTGTTTCTTCCTGTCTACGAACATATTCAGATTCATCAAACCAAAAGCCAAAAGTAAAATCTGTGCTTTTTTCCTCAGAACAAGATCCACTATTTTTGTAAAATTCAGCCTTTCTTAATTCCTTATCATCTAAAGGAGGAAGATACAAATTTCTAGACAAACTTAATGCAGTCTGAGCATCCTTATTCCCGTAAAGAAATCTCTGACAAACAGTTATAGCAGGATTTTGAGGACAATATGTTCCAACACAAGGAACATCATCAACTCCATCAGGACCTAGTTTTTCTTTCTGTAAGCTAAAGACATCAGTATCTATATGTGTAGATCCTGAAACAATCTCTCTTTTCTGCCCCAATACATTGGCCAAGATTTTATACCAGACCTTATCTGATGATATAAATGGTAAAATCTCGCCATTTCTCTCTTCTTTCTCCTTTCCCACAGGAGATTCAAATGAAGAAACAATCAAATTATCACGCCAAACATATTCAGATATGTGATCGCTATGACCAATCAGTGCCGCCAATGACACGCAAAAGACCTCTGATAAAGTCAAACCAGCTATACACCGCCTAATCTCATGGTTATCGGCAGGTACATCTGAAAGTGATGGCAAAGGTGCATGTCGTATAAGCTGCAAGGACTTCCCAGCAGAAACAATTGCCTTACCCATGTCCTTAATGAACAAAGGACAAACATGATGTTCTATCTCCCCCCCGCCCCCTCTTTTTCTCTCGTAGAAATCAACTCTCTTCCAGTAATATCTTTTTTGTCTTTTAGTAAAACATCAGATGAGGAACCGATCTCCAGGTTTTTAATTTTTGCTGTCCTTAGCAGATAGCTCTTCTCCCAAAACTCAGTCTCATCAATTGCAATTCCTTTGTTAGCATAAAAGAACATCTGGCAAAAACAGAATGATCAAAAAAGGCAGATTATGACCAAATACACAAGTATACAGTGGAGACTGAGTCAAATGCTTTTAGGGTCCGTTTGTTTCGGGTGAAAATATTTTTCAGGAAAATATTTTTATAATTTCCAGTGTTTGGTTGCACAAAAGTTACTGAAAATATTTTACATAGGAAAATATTTTCACTCATCTTATGGAAAACAACTTCCCTTCCAAACTTACTGAAGTTATTTTCCGAAATGCATGCATCCCGCCTGTAGTATGTTCCAAACTTATTGAAAACATCTTATAGTATATTCCTTTTTTTTTATTATTGTAAACAGGAGAACTCGAATCCAATACCTCTTTCTTACACACCCTCCCCTGTACCACCCAACCCTGCCCCTAGTATATTTAAAATAAAAAAAAAACATCATCTTACTCATCCTATGCTAGTAATTAATTATGTATAATAGGGACATTCTTTTCTAGAGAAACTTTCAGCAGTGAGAGTGCAAGATATATGTCACAATAAGCATTGCATGTGATTGATATTTGACACTAAATGACTAGCA